GTACCAGGGATTGAACCCGGGTCTTTGCGCTTGCAAGGCAAGCCACCAAACCGCTGAGCTAAACCCCCGGCCCTAAAATCATTTCTAAATGTGCTAGATTATATGTTTATATCTTGGAGCACACTGTATATTTCAATTTATAACAAAAAATGTGGTTTATGATCAATAAATTATGCAAAAAAGTCCTACGAAAGGTTAGAATTTTAAAATAAAAACAATTAATTGAAATGACTGAGAAAAATATAAATATCTTTATCAAACTAGATATAAAAAACTAAGCAAACTACATAACAAAATGAACAATTGCCTAGTATGCCACTTAAATCCTCAAAATTTAAGTAACTCTTACCAAACCAGAATTTCTGTAACATTTTTAAATCTTCATAGTTTAAATCTAAAATAAAATATTTGGCCTCATTTAAATTGCAGAATATAAAAAGGGAAATTAAGTGTAATCTCTGATCCACTTTTTTTGGTGTTCTGCTCTCCCCCGCCCTGTCTTTCTTTTTGTACCTGGGATTGAACTCAGGACCTTGGTCTCCTAGGGCAGGCATGGTGCCACTGAGCTACAGCCCAGGCCCTCTGATTCACTATTTTTAAAAAGGAAAAATACTCTTATTGACTACTTAAGGATGACAGAAAAAATGTACAGACATTTTACAAAGACAGTTTAGAGAGACTTAACACAAATGGTGTATTGCATCATATTTCATCTTAATGTTAGAATGCAGTTTCCTTAATTTATTCTAACAGTATTCAACTAAATACCTATGGGAATGTCTAGATAATACAAATTTGAAAAATTGAATTTAATGTAATAGGTTCATCTAGATACTGAAGTAGAAAATAAAATTGGCTTACTAATTCTACAATAGCTAAATATGCTTTAGCCTCACTTTTAAATTGTAGCTTAAAGAGTTAAATGTCACACATGCTCAGTTTGTAGAATTCTCACCCCACACTGCTCATGTACATAAATGAAAACATGCTGAAATCATAGAATAAATTTAAATTATTTTGATCCATGTTGCATGTTTTTATAATGATACTGTCGCTTCACTTACCCTATCACCAGGATCGCCAGGGGGTCCAGAGGGGCCTTGTAGACCTGGAGGTCCCATAAGACCCTACAGAGAAACAAACCACAATCTGAGTAAAAATTATTTTTTATCTAATTAGTGTTCAGGCAGTTAATGTTCATTTTTCTAAAATCAAAGAACAGGTTATTTATGTTTCATAAATATGTACTTGTCTCCCAAACAATTGTGGAATGCAGCTCCCTGTGAAAAGACAACATATGGGAACAACTTAAAAGCTAGTAAAACTGTTCCTCTAAGAAGCTGCTCTCAGGGCAGAGGCCAACATCCAAGGAAAAACAGGAAAGGACAGCGAGCCAGTGTCAAGGCCCTGAGAGAAAGGCTCGGTCCTGCTTTTTCCTGAAGAAACGGTGCATTCCTCAGATCAGACCCTGAAAGTGTGGTGATAGAAAAGTTGAAAATGTAGAAATAATTTAGCTTGAAAGCATCTTTAGTATTTTCTTTTATAAGTATTTGAAAGTATAAGTGGAATATAATTATTTTCAGATGATAAAGATTTAATGGATTGCACACACCAAAGAAGGGGATACCTTACAAGGTGTGAGAAGTTATTATTCAGATGACAAGAATTTAATAAAATTTCACAGAAAAATAGAAGGCTGTTTCCAAGGTCTAATCATTTCAACAAATTGAAAATGATAGCACACTGAATGACATCAGCCATGTCAGGAAATGATAATGAAGTCTGATAATTTGATAATTATCCTTCGTATCAATACAAGTAACACTGCTCAGGTCTACCTAGGATACTCAATTACATGCCCTGAGATATAATTATACCTCTCTAAAAAAAAAGAAGAATGCCTTTTTTTACTTTGAAAATATTCAGGAAGAAAGGTAAAAATTGGTCAGAAGATGCAGAGATATTTAAGTAAACAGTATTCAGAGTTTAGTCCAAATACTCAAAAAATATTACTAAAAAGCCATATCAGAATATAATTCAAGTCCACCAGCTCCTCTGAAGAAATATTTACATTTTTAACCAACATTCAAATAAGTTTCAGGTGTATAAATCCAATGAAATAAAAATCTTAATTTTAATAATTTAAAAATCAAAAGCAAAATAATGATAAATAATTTACATACTGCAGGTCCGGATGGCCCTGGTGGTCCTTCAACGAGCATACCCTACAACAAAAATGAAATAATCTTTATCAGGGAAATACAACCTTCAAACTCCTCAATAAGAAACTCCAAGAAACTCCAAGAGAGTACTGTATCATTGAACTTTTTAAAGTTAATTTTTAATTGTTATTTATAGAATGAATTACAAATATTTTTGATGAGAAAAGGAAGAAATTCAAAATGATAAAAAACAGTTCCTACCCCCAGGCAATCTAGGAACTAATTGAGAAGAGGATAAATATTCAGACAAACATCATACAGCTAAATGCTCAAAAGAAAGGTACATAAAACACATTTGGCCAATTTTTTCCTAGCACTCACAATAATGTCTATCAAGGTTCAGGTACTTAGAAATGTATTCCCTCTGAATGGATGAATAGAAATAAGTGATGCCTAAACACTTTAACTCAGGAAGAAAGGGAGAAAAGTCCAGGCAAAAGCAAAAAGGACAAAATCTTAGATGAGCTACAGAATAAGTGAGAATAGTTCAGGATGGGAATTCAGTTCCAAAAACCTTTATGAGTCAATTGTAGGATTGGATTGCCAAACACTTCAATGTCACTTAGAAATTTGCTAGTATATTTTTATAACAAGGACAAATTCATTCTGGGGAAAAAAAAAAGATTTTTTTTAAAGCCTTTCAAGACCGGGTTAGGACTTGCTTTCTTAGCTTTTGCAGTAATGGAGTCAACGGCAATAAGGTCCTTAAAGCTGTACCCTTTAAATCTTTATCTTTTTTTAATTTCCCTTTTTTTCTTATTTATTTTCTTGTCCTTAGCTTTTTTGAAAGGATTTCCATGGCTCTCAAGCAGAGTTAAACATACTATCTCTAGTTTTATTAGATCTGTTTTCCCCAGTTCTTGCTTCACAGGAACAATTGTCAACTTGTTTCCTAGTAAAAAGTGTTTCTTACCAATACTACCAACAATAATATTAATAAAAAATTTTTGAATTTACTTCACCTCTTTATTTGAACATAGAAGAAAATGAAGTGTTTTAGAAAGAATATTCATATTACTGAGTGATACAGTTTATAACAGAAATAAGTATTTGTGTACATTAATGTATTTACAATGATAACATCATAGAAATAAGAATAGAAAGTACTAAAATTAAAAATTAGAAGATATAAAATAATGTTATATCTCCATTCAAACTGCAAAAATTACTTAAACCCCCATTAGTTCTCAGGTTTCAAAGTGAAAGAATTAGATTAGTTAAATTTCAGCCAAGATTCTTTCTCTATAATTTTTTGGTTTATTGACATTGCATTTTCCAGGAAGGACATCACTGATGTATTCATTTGTAGCTAATTATAAAAATTAGAAAATCAGGATTCTCTAAGCTGTTATATAAAAATACATAAAAATTTAAGATGATAATGGTACATGATATAAATTAAATGTACCAAATGATAAAATGTATTTATATCAGTACTTACAGGTTCGACCACCGCCGGTTCTCCTTTCTGTCCTTTTTCTCCATATACACCATAGCTATTTATCTATTGAGTGACAGATTAAAGAGTTAAAATCTATTCAAAGTAAAAGCATAAAACTTTTTGTTATAAAAGGAATTCATTTATATAAAGTTAAAAAAACTATTAAAATATACGTTTTAAAGATAGAAAAATAGGTTTCAATAGTACAAATGAACATTCATACTGAATCTGAAAGAGATCAATAAGGTGCTTTTTAAAACATGCTATAAAAAGACATCTGTAGCCGCAAATGCTATGTAAAACATTAAGATATAGAAAATTAAATTTAATGAAATAGTTTAAAATTAAAAATTAGATTTACAAATCAGAATGATTTTGAGTATTTTAATCTTATCAGTGATAAGAAATTTGAGGTATAACTCTATTTCAAGAGCATACTTTCAATGAAGACTCAAATAGCATCGCCTGAGATTGAATAGCTGAAAGTATCTGTTAAGATGAATCTATTACAGTGGCCTAGGAATGGTAAATACTTAGAACTGTTACAAAAATTCAACCTGTATTTTAAACCTGAAAAGATGTCAAAATGATTACGGAAAAAGCACACACAATGACCCAGAGCGTAACACCGACTTACGCTTGTTTCTGTGAAATCAGTTTCTGCTGGTACACCTGGACCAAATTCTTCATTAGGGGCACTTGTTGGTTTGTCTTCATAGTCTTTATATTCATAAAAATCATATTCGCCTAAATCTCCATCTACCAGAAGACCAGAGTCCCTGCCGTCTATTTCTTTATTTTCATACACAGTATCCTCGGAATGTTTCCTCTGGGCATAATCCTCTCCAGTTATATATTCTTCAGTAAAAACGTCTTCAACTGGATTTGGCTATTAATGTAGGTTGCAGAGAATTGGAGAACATGAAGTTTATTTGTTAGTAAAGCAAGGTAAGCATTGTAATTGTAGCTTGGTAGCATGGATGAAGAGTTTTATTACTACTCAAGCAAGACAGAAGGCCTGGAAGGGTTGCTTTTTAGTGTCACTGAAAGAAATATATCTGTACATTCATGTGTACAAAGAAATATTGCTTTCAAACTACTTTTCCCAATAAACTGCAAATATTCACATGGTGTCAACATGTGTATTTGCTTTCATTAAAAAAACTGTTAGTCCATTTGATTTACTGTATTTAAAACTGGAACAATAAAATGTGCATAAAGAATTGTTTGATGTCACAGAACAGCATTATGAAATTTAATTACTATTAAGGATAGTCATGTAAATTTGACTTTCAAGCTCATGAGTACAATAAAAATGTCAAGACATTAATATATCATTAGAAGGATTATATAAAATACTGTATACATAGAAAAGTTATTCTAGATTTCTTTAAAGTAAATAAAGTATAAATTACAGTCCTCAAAGTTTAAGACAATTAAATAGATATGAATTTTAATAAAAATGAGAGAATGTTTACATCAATGGTACTTTTTCAGAGACATGGAATGAAAATTTGTAATTAAGTGATTAAATTAGTAGTTATTACCAAAATAAAATATCTAATCATCAGGATGCCTTTTACACTTGGATAAGACACTTATATCACAAAGAGGTTGAATATTATTCCAGAAAAAAGAATTAAATATTCATGTCCCTAAACTAAAAAAGCTGCATGAATTTGTGCAGATAAATAAACATCTCGAATCAAGTTATCCTCCTGGAAAATGATTAAGACCATGTGAAACAGTATTCACTCATATCCCAAATGTCCACTACTTTAACTTATGTCTGTGGGTAAAGGATTAGTGGTTTTATTTGTCAGACTGGGACACACTTTTATATAAATTTCAAATAACTAACAAATTCCTTATATTCTGAAAAATGCTAAGGAATCTATGGCAGACCTTTAACAAAGCTAAAAAATCGAATTGCATACTGATTTTTTATGATGAAAATATTTATGCAATATGAAATTTTACAAAACTGATTATAATTTACCTGAACTCAAAAACATTTTTATAGAATATTGTGGAATAGTTAGAATGTATTATTTTTAGCCATAGTTAATATTATATTCTCAACATGTTTAAAATAAATATCTAATAAAATTGATTAGATGTATTTCAGCAGATACATGTCATCATTGCAATGCATGATTATTGATCAGAGTGAATAAAATTCTAATTGTATCAACCAATGATACAATTTCCACTTCCGAGGATTCTTCTCATAGAAGAATCATGTTGTGATACACTTTGTCACAACAAAAAGCTTGAAAATTTGCTAATTTTCAGAAACAATCAAGACAGTGGTAGTAGCCAATTCACTGTAGTAGCCAATTCAATTTAGCATTTGCATGAAGCCAAGACTCATGCAAAATCTGAATTGACATTGACTTCAACAGGTTTTTAAATTTTTAGTAATAGTGAACCAATGTTATTCTATTTCTTACCTTTATCAAATAAAAACTTCAGGTATTTCAAAGGTTATTAATTCTTCCAGAAAAAATTATATCAAGATATATTACATATTGTAAAGAGTTTGTGATTTAATATTGCCTCTAATGTGTTACCTCATTCGATCCAGATACCCGCTGAGGAGCTTCTGTCTGGTAACTTTCCATTGTTCCATAGTTATATTCTTGAAAATCGTCAACAATATTTGCCTAATGATAAATTTAGAAGACAAAAAATTAGTAAATAAGTAAAATAATCTCAAATGTGTGAAAAACATCATGATCAAATTGGGTTATTATATTAGCCAAATGGTATTTATCTAGTTGGTTAAGACTATGACTCATTATCAGAGATCTTCCAGCTTATCCAGGATAGATCTTGATTGTTTTTCTTCGCTACCTTTACCCCTAGTTTGGCTTTTGCTCTTGCTTGATTACTTTTCTTCTTCTTGGATGCAAATTTTTCAGATATGGGGGGTGTTAACTTTTTGGATTTTTCCTTTGAGTTAGTGGCCACTGTCTTCAGCTTCTTTTTGAAATTGGATTTCTTTTTCTGTAAAATGTGATGAAAGATGGAATGGAAAACATAAATAAAGCTGAGAGGAAATAAAAAGCATGGATGACAGAAAAGGTACACAAAAGCAAAATGGGCAGCATTCCTTCAGAGCAGCTGCTGTCAAATAAAAATGCGTCATTATTTCAGACAAACAGAGGAGGGAAAGGTTCATGATAAGTCTGAGGAACAGTGAACATAAGGAACCACAGGATGACCAAGAGCAGAACACCACATACAAAGATGCCGCTTTGTTTTTACCTCTGTTTGTGCTATTGTCTCCTCAGTTACAGTGGGTCTCTCTGTTACACTTTCAGCCTCTTTATATTCTGTTTCCCCATACTCATAATCATATTCGATTATATCCTCAGGTGCATACTACATTGTAAAGGAAAAAATATCAGGCAATTGTGTTAGTTGGAGGTAATACTATTAACAGAGTGGGAATCATCTTAACTTTTACTTAGAGTAAATGTTAAGACTCAAGGGAACTAGTGTTATTTCCGTTATTTTGTAGTACAAAGAAATATTATACTGTCTTGTACAGAGTATAATAACACGGGAATGACAAAGCAGTATTTATAAAAGCAGAAAAGTGGTTAGAGTTGTGAGAAAACGAAAAGTTTTGAATAATGATTCAAACTTTTAATTATTGAACATTAATTCAAATAGAGCATTTATGTTCTTAGACATAGCTGTTAAACCTTGGTGTTAATTTTGATTCATAACAATTGCTATGCGAGTTTCTACTGAAAGAATTTTACACTAATTTCAATAAGTACATTTTCATAAAGCAACATGTTTAGAAATAAAAATATGAACAGTAGTTTTCCCAAGAAAAAGGACTTTCATGGGAACGGGAAGAGGAGGACAATGGAGTACAAGAAATATGACAAAAGCTTGTATTACATTCGGAAGGCTAACCAAAGTAAAAGTAGGATTTAAAATTGATTTGGAAATCTCTAATCTACTACAGACTTATGTAAGAATGAAAATAAAGTATTTGTGAAGAACTAGAATTTTTGAATTTAGACATCTTTATAAATAATATCAGTATTTGATATTACTTTTTTCTCTATTGAAAATAGAACATAGTTAGGTATCTTAAACATCTTAAATTGTATTCACACTAAAAATAGTTTTTTTATGCTACATTATTCTGCATTAATGAATTCAACTTGGAGAAGCCTGTTCCTTTATAAAGAGAGATGAAAATTTTAATCAAGAATTTAGATATTCTAAAACATATTCATCATTCTATTAAAATAACTGCAGATATACAAGTTATATAAAGCATAAAAATAAGCAGTAAATTCAATAAGCTAAAACTATATACTTATATAACTATCTAGCATTAGCTTATTGAATAAACAGTATATATGATAAAAGCAAATATTTATGTTTATATGTTGTGTATATATAATCTGTACACATATAAGTAATAAAAGCAAACTATATATATTATTTCCAAAGTATTGTATTTACACCTCCTTTCGCATTTCAAATAATCTTTTCTAATCTGCCAGCAAAAATACTGTTGACTATAAATTTTTTAGAAACTTGCAATCATGGTGCAATTTAATAAATTGTATTAGAAACTGCAATGCAAATATATGCAAATGTCACATGATTAGACATGTCCAAGCTGACCACATGCCTACTTGGTACATCTGACAGTGACATATTCTCACCAGAGGAAACATTTCTGGACAACTCTGTTAGAAATTATATTGTCAGATAAACAGGCATTTCTATAGTGCTCTCTAGGATGGTTAAAGCTCCAATCTGACAAAATTAATAAAGAGATTATAATTTTAGCCTTCTAGTAATAGTTTCAGTTTCAACGAATATATGCTGGAAGCATTCAAATATGTTATTCTTTATATCATGTTTCTCTCTTGTAGAAGGAAACTTCTTCCAGCTCCATAATTCTCTCCTATTTGAACTCGTTCCAAATGAAGAGCTACCAGAATGATTACATCAAAAAAAGAAAGAGACAAAATGCCATGTTCACCTCCTAAGGCACTAAACTGTTTCTTCTTTCCGGGTTTACACAGGAGTAAGTACAAAGTATTGCTGCTTCTACTGTTATTTCTTCAGCCATATTAAAATCCTGTATATATATATATATGAGAACTAGCATATATGATCAATATTAAGTCAAAAGATGATCAAAGTAATGCATTTTTGGAAGTTATTCACTCATTCATTAATTTATTTATTGGTTTGTTTTTAGAGTGTTTTGCTACGTAGTTCAGGCTGTCCTCGAACTGTGATTCACCTATCTCAGCCTCCTAAGTGATGGGATTACAGGAGTTTGCCTCCACACTTAGCCAAGTCAATTATTTTAAATTATTTAAAAAAAAATAGTCTTGCTTTTATTTCATTTTATTTTTTTCATCCTTTAAAGAGTATCAGTTGCTTTTTGCATAACATGTATGATATGTTTAGAAGGAATTATATGTAAGTTTGTTATGTGTTTTATTATAAATAGAAACACTTGCCAGTTAGAAAAAGCATGCTACAATTTTTACAAAATAGATTGGCATAATAATCCAAATTAGAATAAGAAGGCAATGACATTTATTAAGTGAAAATACATTGTGTATGATAAATAGTCCATATCACACCTTATGTTCCTAATCCACTGTCAAGTAACATTGTATTACTATTTTGTTACATCAAATATCTGAAAATCAATTATTAAAATGCTTATTTGCAATATAATGAAATATTAATGGCTACACCTCAAATTTAGGACTGCTTACTAATTTGACTGTTCTTTTAATACAAATATGAAATGTTCATCTTATTGAAGTATCAGTCTAATGTGGTTATGGAAAATGGTGAGACTTGATTTTTTCAAATTAATTTATAAAAATTCTTATTGTGACAATAAATGTAGAAGCTAGTAACAAATCCTACTTATTACTGCATTACACTATTTTCCTCACATTTTTTATTAGAGCAATGTATTATTTTTCACATCAAATGTTTCTTTTAAAGCAATTTTACCATCTCATTTGTTAAATATACATTTCAACAAAAAAAACAGAAAACGATAAATTCACTGGTAAGTGGATTCAAGATGAATAAAAATTTTCCTAACTTAAAATAATTTAGCTTACCTGACAAGATACAATATGGAAATGAAACACCTAAAAGTAATGTATTAAAAATGCAAACCTTGCTTTCTCCAAAAGCCAAACCATATATATTGGTAAAAAGAATAAACCTAATTGTTCTTCAGAAAATATTGTGTGATATTATTCATTTAAAATATCAAAATATGTATGTATTAAAATATTATTATATTGTGTATTATATTGGATTATTATATCAAGATTATTATAAGATATTATTTACTAAAATGTTGAATTAAATATTAAATGCTATAAAGTTTAATATTAAGTAATCACATGACTTGTCAGATATAAAAACCTAAACTAGTAGGATGTTTCACCTATCACCATGGAACTCACAGAAAACATATTTAGTGATTTGTGAGGAAATAAAAACAATGAGATGCTTGAGAATTATGAAACAGGCAAAGAAATTATTCCAAGTAATTTTTCTTTGGTCTTTCATGTTTGCCTTCCTGTTGGCTTCTTAAGACTTTATCCTGTTTTAAGAAAGAAACACTAATATTAAGTTGTGGAAAAGATTAGTTCAACAGAATTCACCATCAAACTTTTAAAAGGTAGTGTAAAAATGTATTTTACACATTTAACATGCAAAACCAAACCTGAATTCACACAAGGAACAATGATAAATAAAAAATCAGATCTTAACCCATTCTAAAGAGTTAAACTCAAAAGGTAGTACCTCCTGCTATAATTAAAAGGGAAGAAATCACTACTTTAGTGTAGTTCTGTTGTTCTCAATATTTTACCCCATCTGAAATGTAAAACTCAGCCTTAAGAAATAAATCTAAAAACATATTCATGCTTCCAATAAAACCATAAATACCTTCTTGTTTGTTTTTTAACTTCTGTATTAGAAACAGTTAAAAAAATCACTCTAATTACTCAACATAACCTGAAACTAGAGCAATTCTCACATCATTTTCTCATTTGCATTGACTGCCAAAGGCCTGGAGATTTTCAAGCACATCAGAAACTACCTGTCCTTGATACTGAGGCTGCATAGATTATTTACATAGGAAGGATAGAAACATAGTTGTCGTAAATTATCCCCTCTCTAAAATACTCCAGAATACAGAACACAAGTGAGATATCACTATTTGTAATAAAATCAATCAACAAAGTGCTTAAACAAAAAGAAAAAAATAATTACCAAGTATCTTTGAATCACCTTTTCTTGGAAATATTTAAAGACTATTAAATAAAAAGTATATTTTAATTAAAAGTGAATGAATACGTGTAAGACCCCAAACTGCAGGCTGTGTCCCTACCAGTGACACGGGCGCATCTGCCCTGACCTTGTGTTACTCACCTCATCTACCTGAGGTTCCTGAGCCTGAGCAGCCTTGGAAGCTGAAGAGTCACAGTCGGGACTATAATGCTCACAGTAGTCATATGCTGCCTTGGGGTCACCGGTGATCAAAAACTGCTGAATGTCGCCCTTCAAAGACAAGGACAGGGATGAAGTCAGCATATTCAATTAAGCAAAATTGCAAGATGGCTTTATTTTTAAATATCTAAAGAAGAAAATCCCACAAATTTATATTTCAGTGTAAGGAACTATCTCATAAGATGGGGAAAAATTTACATTTATTTTACAAATTAGCTATAAATATCAAGGTGTCTTTCCGTGCCCTTTTTCTGGTGCTAGACGTTTATAATGTACTTATCCACTTATTAAAATTAAATTTTATTGGTTTCAGTTAATTCTGCACATTAAAGGACAAATGGTGTGAATAAAAGTAAATGAATTCCAATATTAAAAAACCAAAATGTTCAATTAACTCACAAAGAATTGTTACTGTTAGGCAAATTTATGATAAAAAGTGCCAGGGATTTAGCTCAGTGGTTTGGTGGCCTGCCTTGCAGCACAAGGACCAGAGTTCAATCCCTGGTACCAAAAAAAAAATAAAAAATAAAAACAAAACAAATTTATGATAAAGTGAAAATATATATTCAACAATCCATTTTGATTAGCATAATCAATATCAAAAGCAATTCTGAATGCATGAGAAAAGCAGAAATGAGAAAAATCTAAATTATAAATACAAAAGAATGGGTTGAACACACTTTCGTTAAAAATAAAGTAGTGTCTAAACATACATTAAAAGTAATTTAACTAGAAATCTGTATAATTGTCACAAAATGACTTGCAAATATTTAAGAGCAGGAATGTCTATAGAATTTCAATTTCTGGAGATTCTGGTTACTCAGAGGAGAAAAGTCCAACCATTTAGCACTTGAAACAATATATCTCTCTACTTCCACATAGGCCAAATTCAACACGAACCTAGCTTGAAATAAATATGGATCATAAATGTATTGATTTCAAAATTATATACCCCCAATGCAAGATGTCTACGTTAATAATCATGTAACTTGGACAGTCAAGTCCCTATAAGCTTGAGGAAAAAAGTCTGATGTATAGAAATCCTGCTTTTATTTCAAACAATTTTACAATCATTCCAACCTTCTCCATATCTAGAGGACAACCAGTTATATTAGGAACTTATTAAAATATAAGCATTAAATCAAAAATCACTAAAATTGAGAACTAGGCAGAAAATTATAGCATATTTATACCACTATATTACATTATTTATAAACAAATGCTTCTTTAAAAAGTGCTGTACATAAAATAATGAACACAGTATTATGGATGCAGAAATAAATTTGACATATACTTTGTGGAAAACACTAATTTCATTTCCCTGATAAGGGAATTGCTGCATTATGTGGCTGTTCTATTTCTAACCTTGTGAGAATTTTTGTAATGTTTTCCGCAATGACTCTACAAATTTACTTTCCCACCAGTAGTACTTAATTGTTTTTTTTTTCATGTTTTTATCAACATTTGTTATTTTCTATTATTTTTTTGTCATTGAGTTTATTGGTTCATTTTAGGTATACAGTACAGTTGCATTCATCATTGGGATCTTGTACCTTTACATGACAGGTCTTGGTTCTCTTTTTTTCCCCTTGTCCCTGCCCTCCCTTCTAATTTGATATAATGCTATCTTATTGTGGTTTTGATTTGCATTTCTCTGATAATTAGTGATCATGATTATGAGATTATTTTAAAATACCTTTCAATCATTTGTATGTCTTTTTAATGAATTTATATTCATATGTTTTGCTCATTTTGTAATCTAATTGCTAATTTTTGTTATTGGCTTGTTTGCCTTTCTTCTGTATTCTGGATATTAGTTACTTCTCAGTTGCACAGGTTGCAAATATTTTCTTCCATTCTCTGGGTTTTCTTTTCATTCTTACACATTTTGTTTTGTTTTGTTTTGTTTTTGTTAACAGGGACTGAACTCAGGACCTTGTGCTTGCGAAGCAGGTGGTGGAACCACTGAGCTGAATCCATGGCCCCTATTCACTTTTACTCATGATTGTTAAGTTTGATAAAATTTTGGTTTTTGCTGCCAGTAGTTTTAAATTGTTACCCCAAAAAATCCTGCCCAGACAAAAATCATAAGGCGTTTTCTTTTTGTATTTTGAAAGGTTTGAGTTACATTTAAGTATTTATTTCATTTTGACTTTATTTTTGTAGGTAGTTAGAGATAGAGATTTACTTTCATCATCCTGAGTGTAGAAATCCACTTTTGCTATCATAATTTATCTCAAAGATCATTCTTTCCTCCGCAAATGTTCTTCATGCATTTGCTGAATATAAACTGACTGTGAATGCAAGGCTTTATGCTCTTAGTTCATGTATGTTTTCATATCAGCATTAAGTTACTATTTTTTTTCAGCTTTAATTGATTTTATTGCTACAATTTAGGGATACAGTATAGTTACATTCATTGTTGGCATCTTGTACCTCTACATGACAAGTCTTCATTCTCATTTTTTCCCCTTACTCCTGCCCTCCCTTCACCCCCTCCTCCCCTCCCCATCTACAAACACTTTATTTCCATCTTTTCATTATCTCACATTTTTTTATTTTCCCTTATTACCCTTCCCTTACCCATCCCACCTTCCCTAACCTTTAGCTAAAGTTCCTATAGTTTTTATTGTTGTTTTTAAATGGCACTTCTGGAAATCTGACTTTATGTTCTTCTGTCACTGAGCTTACTATTGTTTATATTTGTCATTGTTACTGTTGCATGTAAGTCTCCTTTGTTGCCTGGAGTCACAGTAGCCTCTGATTAAGTTAGTGATGAGCACATGATCTGCCAGAGATTTTTAAATACTTTATACCTGTATGTATCCTGAGAAGCTTTTTTCCATACATGGGAGCACGGGTTCCACACTCTGACATTTTACCTCTCTCTGCTTTGGTTTCCCTACTTGCTGTGCAGCTTCAAGGTCATCAGTGTATAAGGTCCTAGAGCCTCTTCTTAGGGTCTCTAGAAATTTCCTGGACATTTACACAGGGTTTCTAGGTGCCCAGGAAAGTGGAGAGCTTTTTAAACTGTCTGTAAACATCTCATGTCCATCTTTTTTCATTTGAGTGTTTTTCTCTACCTTTTTCACTTTGTATTTTAACATTTAAATTAATATGGCCAACTCTCTGTCATCAGTTCATCTACAACGTCTCATTTTCACCAGACTAAAATTCAAATGTAAAAAAAAAAAAATTACACATTCAGCACCCCCGCAATCAAACATCAAATAGTATGCTGGGCTATTCTTTTGATAAATTTTGCAAAATCTACAATTTCTCTCAGAGTGTGTTACATTTCTTCACCTAACTTTATTTAATTATTAATTAATTCATGTACCCACTCAAAATGCTTTAAAAGTGCATAGGACACGTGTTCAATGTGTTCAGGAAATGTCAAACTAAGCCAACACTTACTTTAATTCCCAGTAAAAAATGGAAAAAGGAAAATCAGTAAATATATATGCAGACAACTATACATAACACTATTATTATTATTTCCAAACAAAATATTTCTATTCATATGTCATACAGCAATATAAACAATTGATCAAATAAATTTGCTTCTGAGATTTTTTTCAACATTTTGTGTTAGCATGTAGCCAAATAATGTTGTTAATACATTCTGATAATAGGCAGGCTCAAAACATAGCATTATAAATTCTTAAAATATTTTGGTAACACTTATCACACACAAAATGATTGAGACCCTAAGTATAGCAACCTGAGTTGCTATAAATAATCAAAAATAACAAAAAATTCTGTTACAAAGTTGTTCATTCTGCTGTTTAAAGAAGTAATATATGGAATCATTTAATAAATTGAACACATACTGAGTGACTTTTTCCATTAGAAACCGTAATTCCTAAATTTTCTCTCAGATTTACCATTATTTACTCAGAACTTTGGCTTCCTGACCTAATTAAAATTAATGCATTGAGAGATCATATCTAAGGTCCTCTTCAGTGCTAGAAATTTTAAAATTCTATACTTAATAGAAATTACAATGAGCCAGGTAAACATATTGTTTAAACAAAAAGTTGCATATTTTATGTGTAGACTGTATTTTTTCAGTAATATATTTTCAGAAGTATGTTGTTTTCCTACTTACATTTTTATTTAGAGAAATCTTATGCTATGTAGTTTTTCATTATAGATTCTTATTTCAGGTGTCTAATAGTAAGCTATAAAATATAGCTAACTGGAAAGAAGTTGGAAAATTCAGTTAAAAAAGTCCTATTTTTCCCAGAAAGTATATTACAGTGTTTTATATTAATCATATAACATGTGATTATAACATCATATAACAAGACAGTGTAAATCAATAAGGATATCATGACAGATTAAATGAGTTGTAAAAACTTAGACTTTTGTAGTGTTATAAAAATGTCCACAGCAGGAAGAGTGAAGTTACCAAATAAACTTGGCATCTGTGGCTTTCAAGAGGTGGAAAAAACATTGTCATTGTCTATAAAAATCTACAGCGGCAAGACTAAGACTGAGTTGGTGAAATTGTCTTGTGGTCTACAGCTATGTCACCTAAGGCTGTAGTGTTTTCCTATAGATTCTATGGATCTGCAGAAGACAAACAAAGTGAATGTTAGAAAATTGAATAGAAATTAGATAGACAGATGGGGTTCATTTGATTCCACATCATTGCAAAAAACTCTCATCACATTTTCTATCAGAGTTGGTTACATAAGTAACAATACATACTTCATTCAAAACCAAAAGATATCTGTTAACAGTTTTTATATTTTGTGTGAGTGTGTGTGTGTGTGTGTGTGTGTGTGTAGGTCTATCTACTTCTATTTTCAATGGTATGAAGATAATTACATATATTTTATAAAATACACAAGCAAAAATTGAGATTTTGTGCCTGAAAAGAATCACATTTATTGAAAATATGTGATGCATAAACTTGGCCTAATATGTATCCATATAAAGAGTATGAATTTTTAGGTTCAACTTGTCATTTAATAATAGGCCACCTAGTGTTTGGCTGACATCCATTCCTAGTCTGAACATTCTCTAAATTATATAGCACAGCA